CTCGGTGAACAATGCTCTGCTGCTTAACTTATATAAATGAGTGGTTTGTTACAATACTTTTTTTACGACAAAGTACATCGTATGTCTAAAAATAATGTCCGTGATTAAAAAAAGAAAGAAAAAGAAAAAGTTATGAGCTTTATTCTATTCCATCAAACACATTTGATATTTATGAGGCACATTCACTGGTCTCATTAAAGCAAAGTGCTATCAGAGTTTAATTGTTTAGCCCCCGGCTAGTAAATTATGCTGTAATCGAAATCATAACTCCAAGCGATCAGATAAAAACTGCTATTAAATTTTAGACACTTTAAACGTTACAAAATAAAAAAACAATTTAAGGAGAAAGTAATCCGATGATTTCCCTATTGACTATTTTACTAATTTAAATTTCATTTTAAGCCACAGAAATATCTTTAAATAGGCTATAAACCAGAAGCTCTTATCACTTCAGAAAATATTAGACTACATACTCGGTTATTAGTTTTAACTAAGAGTCGTCACCTAAAACATTATATAGTCCTTAATATCTATCCTCGTTTAAGAATCAAAATGCAAATACGTTGTCACCCCTGACAACTGTGGTAGAATGCCTCGTTAGCACTAAAAGGGGTCATTGTTGTCTTGTGACGCTGATTTTGGTAGAACTTAATATATGTAGGGAAAATATTTTATGTAATTCATAGTCAAATGTAATAATACGTTTTTATTTTACTGTGACTCAGCTCAATCACCCTAGGGCAAGTAAGCTACAATTCATGATATGATATGGGTACAAAATATTTTTTATTAAAATTTCGTTTGGCTCATAATAAGAAACCACAAGATTTTTGATAATAATTAATATGTCATAAAACTTTATGCACGTGTCATTTATCTTTTTATTCTATTTCTATGATGGATGGTATGTCAATGATATTGATAATTCTAAAATATTCGGTGCGTTGGCGGCGGCCCGTGTTGCTTTAGGTATGTAAATTTTAGGTCTTTATCTATAGAATTGCAGTTTTTTATGAAATAAGTCAACGTATTTTTTTTTACATATTTTTTATTAAGTGCTCACCCATGCAATCGATACATCTTTCCCAACACAGTGGCAGTTTATTGATGCCCTGCTTGAAGAAATCAGCTGGACAACAAATACAACAATTTTTTTAAAGGCATTTCATACTGCTTCCCGAGTATTTATTTTTTCCCGCCGAGAATTCTGAAAAAAGTAGAAGCCTGTAGGTTCAAGGTCTGGTGAGTACGACGGATGACGGAGAGCTTCCAACCCCAGCTCCTGTAACTTGACGACCGTCTGTTGTGCAGTATGATGTCGCGCGTTATCGTGAAGGAGCATTACTTTTTGTTTTCAGAATGGAAGCGGGCAAACCAATAACAGGTGGTGCGTTCGTTTGTAGGTTTTGGTCCGTAAACTTCGTTAATGTTGCGTGCCGCTTATGCCGCGTTGTTGCCACGATGGTACTCATATTCCATAATTACTTGAATTTTTACGTATCCATGATGATGAAAAATATTCAAATGCGATGAGAACGTAACGCTTATTATCAATAAACAAATGACTAAATTTGAAAAGCGAATTCCATGGTTTTAAAATTAAATTAATTCGAAATTAAAATTCTTAGTCAAACAAAAATTAACTTGATTTGAAATTGAAAAACTGCAGACCGACAATTTCATAGGTTCAAAGACCTATTATTAAGTCCTACATAGGCTGCACTAAAAGTATCGGGAATGGAATATTTCCACTGTTCCTGTCATATTAAAATCTTTTTAATTGAAAAGTCCTTGGTTTTAAAAATCAAATACCATTTATTTATTTAAAAAATATTCTCGGTCTTGTCACAAGGTTTTGTCAAACTTGTTGAGTCGTTGAGAAAATGGAATTGACTCGAGAAAATTCAAGAGCGATGATTTATTATGACTTTCGAAGTGGTTTAACACAAAAACAGTGTGTTGACCGGATGATTTCTGCATTTGGTGATGAAGCCCCATCCAAAACCACAATTTATCGCTGGTTTGCTGAATTTCAACGTGGACGTGTCAAGCTCAGTGATGATCCCCGTCAAGGTCGTCCAAAAACTGCAGTCACCCAAGAAAACGTTGATGCTGTGCGTAAGCTGATTAAGGAAAATCGACATGTGACATACCGCAAAATTCAGGCAACTTTAGCCATTGGCACGAGTCAAATACAAATAATCTTGCATGAACAATTAGGTGTAAAAAAGTTGTTTTCCCGATGGACACCGCATTCGCTCTGTGAAGAGCAAAAAGCGGCTCGCGTTACTTGGTGCGTCAGAACTCTCGAAAGATTCCACGCAGGATCCTCAAATGCTGTATACAACATCGTATCAGGTGACGAATCCTGAATATATGCGTACGAACTCGAAACAAAAAACCAGTCACGAGTTTGGGTGTTCGAAAATGAGTTATAGCCAACAAAAATTGTTCGTTCACGGAGTGTTGCAAAAAAAATGGTGGCCACGTTTGTCTCCAAAACCGGCCATGTTAAGACTATTCCTCGTAAGGGACAAAGAACAGTTAATGCAGAATGGTATGCTAGCATTTGTTTGCCACAGGTCGTTTCTGAATTCCGTAAAGAGAACTGCAACCGCCGCATCATCCTCCATCACGACAATGCGAGTTCTCACACTGCACACAGAACAAAAGAGTTTTTAGAGCAAGAAAACATAGAATTATTAGACCATCCGCCGTACAGCCCCGACCTAAGCCCTAATGATTTCTATACTTTCCCTAAAATAAAGAATAAATTGCGTGGACAGAGATTTTCATCACCTGAAGAAGCTGTGGACGCCTACAAAACGGCCATTTTGGAGACCTCAACTTCCGAATGGAATGGTTGCTGCAATGATTGGTTCCATCGTATGGAAAAATGTGTCAAATTTCGCGGAGAATACTTCGAAAAGCAATAAATACATTTTTAAATAGTAATGTTGTGTCACTTCCTTGATTCCCGAAATTTTCAGTGCTCGTATACTTTTATATTCTGAATATAATACTGTTACCTAATATCATGTTGTGTGTACATGTTTTGGAATATCATTCAGATTGTAACTTTGCATTTAATATGTTCAATTGTTCATATTTTGATGTTATTGTGTTTTGTGTACTTAAATAAATAAATAAAATAAATAAATTATTTTGTCGTTTAATATTTTGATGAAGTTTTGATGTTTATGTAGGATTAATTGTCCAACTAGGTAACTTCGATTGAGAGGTATTACAATATATTGATATGTGCCAGTGATGACATATGGATCTGAGATGTGCTCCTTCTTTCACTGCTGGATGTATCAATAAGTTCAAGATAGCTCAGCCAAAAATGGAGAGGGCTATGCTTGGAGTTTCTTTGCTTGATAGATTTCGTAATGAAGATATACACAGTAGAACCAGAGTGACCAACACAGCCCAACCGATCAGTTATCTGAAGTGCCAATGGGCCAAAAAACCAACTACCAAACAAAATAACCAAAAACCGTTGGGGAAGAAAATTTCTCGAGTTGCGGCCTCGTACCGGCAAGCGGTACCGGTAAGCGAGGCGTAAGGCGGCTGCCAGATAGATTAAGTGACAACCTGGTCAGGAGTTCGACGGCTGAAGGTGGCTTAGGACGCTTTGTTGCATTCCTTGGGGGAGGCCTTTATTCACCAGTGGACTTGTAATGGATTGTAATGTTGACGATCATAATGATCACCATTATTATTTATTGCTTGTTTGTAATTGCATATTATTTGAAGTTATTAAGCTTTTAACAGGCGAAGCTACACACAGCCCTTACAAAAACAACTCGTGCTCTTTCTGAAAGCGTTTGGAGCAACATTTGGTAAAATTTTTGAAGAAATTATTTTAGATCAGATGTTAAGTTTCTTTAATATTAATAAATTGCTACATAAAAATCAATTCGGTTTTACAAGGGGTCACTCGACAACTGACGCTGGAGTTGAGCTTATTAAACATATTTTTTGTGCATGGGAGAATTCAGAGGATGCTTTGGGTATATTGTGTGACCTTTCCAAGGCCTTCGACTGTGTTCACCATGAGACATTAATCAGGAAGCTACAGTACTATGGTGTCAAGAACATAGCGCTTAAACTTATTATTTCATATTTCAGTAATAGAAAGCAGATGGTAAAAGTTCTTCCGGGTCACCTGCACTAATGGGTGTCCCTCAGGGCTCGATTCTCGGCCCATTCCTGTTTCTGGTGTATATTAATGACTTACCTCACCTTGTAGGGGATAATCATGATATAGTATTATTTGGTGATGATAGTCGGTAGTCGGCACCATTTTTTATATTATTTGTCTTTAAGAAAGGATTAATTCACAAAATTACTGACGCTGTTGTCATAAGATTTGCAAGTAATATGATCGACAATGCATAATCAAATTAAGAATGAAATTCATTTTTTTAATTGATTCTAGAGTCAAAATTGTACACAATATTTTTACTAAAGATATGAAGATAAAATTCTACTGTTTTATAATTATAGTAGAAATTTGGCTGTATAAGCTAATTTTCAGTTCTTTTTCCAGATTTGTCATATCATTTAAAAAGTTGTTTACATTCCCGGCTACTTAAAGGTAAAATTCATTACAGTCTATCAAAAAAACCTACGGTATTTCCGTGTTAAAGGCTGAACTTTGAATGCCTCGTGGGTTTAGGGCCGCAAGCGCGACTGCTGATCATGAGGTACCAGGTTAAAATCCCGAGTCGGGCTAAGACCAGTTTTTGGGGGTTTACGTTTCGGGCAAAAAATATGGACATATCGAATTATCGATATTTATCACGCGATATATATTGGTTTTTTTTTATAGGAGAGGGGGCAAACGAGCATGTGGCTCACCTGATGGTAAGTAACTACCGCCGCCCATGAACAACCGCAACACCAGGGGAACCAGAGGAATTGCAGATGCGTTGCCGGCCTTTTAAAAAGGAGTACTAGGCTCTTTTCTTGAAGGTCCCTAAGTCGTATCGGTCCTAAAAAATCGCTGGTGGTAAACTATTCCATAAGGAAGTTGTGCGAGGAAGAAAACTTCTTCTAAATCGCACAATAGTAGACCGCCAATCATCTAGATGGTATGGATGGTATCGGGAGTTCTGCCGCGATGTGCGTTCGTGAAACTTGGCGGCTGGGATTAATCCGAATAATTCCTCAGAGCACTCCCCGTGGTAAATGTGAAAGAAAATGCAAAGAGATGCAACATCTCTTCGCAGTGCCAATGAATCGAGCCGATTGGAAAGGAATCGGTCGTCGACCATTCGAGCCGCTCTGCGCTGGATGCGGTCAAATGGACGGAGCTGGCACTGAGGAGCCCCAGCCCAGAGATGGCAACAGTATTCCATGTGAGGCCGAACTTGCACCTTGTAAAATTGACGGTGTGCCGGCATGAAATACTGTCCCACTCTGCTGTGCACGCCAAGCTTTTTAGAGGCCAATTTGGCCTTCTCTTCCAAGTGACCACGAAACTGCACGTCACTCGATATGTCGACGCCAAGGATTCCGATACTGGCTGAGGCAACAAGGGGAGTGCCTTGAAACTTAGGAGATACGACAAAGGGGTTCTTTTTAGCGGTAAACGCGCAAACTTGTGTCTTCTGAGGATTAAATTGATACTGTTTAAAAATATCGATTTTATATATATCGATATATTTTGTCCCTTGCCAATCCCTAAGAAATTCTAAACAGCAGCCCGGAGTTAAGAAGTTGGCGGTTTTTCACCCTTGTGCATCGAAATCACGTAATGCCGTTGGTCCTGCGCCCGATCTCTCTCCTGTCATGTCGGCTTGACATGGCATCGGAAAACAGAGTAAGTGAATAAAGAGGGCACCTGTGTTTGCGCATACACTCGGGCATTATAATACTGGCTAGTTTCCACTGTGACCAAAATTCGGTCAAGACGATATTATTATTATTATTAAATGGGGCAAATACGATATCAGGACGTCAAGCATCTATATCCCCTCTGTCCTTTTAACAATGAGTGCTGCGAAGCATTCACAACGTTAAAAATATTAAATTAACCACCATAAAATCCGTAAAAGTAGTTTTATGATTATAATAATGTGTAGTAGTAGTAGTAAATATAAAAAACCAATTAGCTTATCCACAGTTCACTATTGAAGATAGGCCAATACTAGTACTGTATATAATTACAATATGCAATATACAGAGAGCAACATTGAATAAATGCTTACATCTGAAACAAAGCTATTACTGACAGGTGAAACTGGTGCCTAAACTGGGTAAAACCTGTAGCTTAGGTCATCAGGACTCCAACTGTAGACCTCCGCGGAAAAAGTAGTTACATGTAGCTACGATCAAAGATATTCTTATTGATTGAACAGTTAATCAAGATACATTTTATGCTCTAGTTAAAAAAAAGGTAAAGAGAAAAAGACAGTGAGGTACTAACTGGCAAAGAGTACTATACTGGTATACAATGCACATAATTAGCTATTGCGGAAGGAATACGCTGCTGCCCATCTCCTGGTTTGTTTCCAGCTGTCCTCTCTTAGGACACTCACGGGACAAGACCCAGGGTAGTGAATATCCTTTTGCCGCCAATACACAGTGAATTTAAAATTTATTCCCATTTAATTTTTTCTTCGATTGAAATGAATAGCCGAGGTAAATGCTTGAACCACGTTTACATATATGGGAGATATATGTCCATTTCCACGTTCGACCACTATGTTGCAGAAGTGAACGGCAAGTTCGGGAAGGGACGCCCTAGACGAAGGTTTATCGACCAAATCGGCGATACATTAAAAATGGGCCAGATTAGGAGTACCCTTAACCGATGAGCGTGTATGCGTAGATATATGGATGTAAAGGAGGCGAGAGAGGTGTGTCAGGATCGCGCCAAATGGAAGTCCGTAGTCTCTGCCTACCCCTCTGGGTGTCAGGCGTGAGTGTTTGTGTGTGTGTGTATCAAAGGAATGCACTCCATTTTCTCACTTAATTGGGTTAAATCTGACGAAGTCACAATGCTGGGACAAGTTAGTACTAACGCACACAAAAATAAATATAAGAATCTTTGTCAGTGGACCGTCAAAAAGACCCGATCGGGTATTCCAAGAACGCTATAAAATACGTCGCGCACACACACACACACATACAAACACGCGCGCGTGTTTGTATGTGTGGGTGTGTGTGTGTGTGCGCGTGTGTGAGTATGTGCGTGTGTGGATGCGTGTGTTGCTTGTGCGCGCGTAATACGCGTGTGTTGCGCGTGTGTGGGCACGTGTTGCGCGTGTGTGCGCGTGTTTGCTCGAGGGTGCACGTGTGTGCGCGTGTGTGCGCATAAGTGCGCGAGTGTGTGCGAGTGTGCGCGCATTTGCACGTGCGTGCATGCGTGCGTGCGCGCTTATGTGCTTGCGTGCATGTAACACTTTGGGAATTATCTGAATTTCAACGTGGTAGAGCCATGCTGTGTCATATAGCTGTAGCTATATTATGGATGTAGCACGAATAGATCGTCCAAAGAAGGACCATGCTTTCACAGAATACCAGGGTTAAACAGCAACTTAATGTTGCTGTGTCTCTTATGAAGAGTGTGAGCACTCGAAAACCGAGAAACGAGACATTCCATTATAGTCCATTCATCCGGTGACATTGCATCTGATCATTTTGATTCCTAATCAAGTATAGATAAAGATGTCTGTGGGCCACATCATTCACTTTTCATCAGGTGGACTGTGTGCTCGTTTGTCGTCCTTATTGTCTAAAAAAAAAATTATACTTTATTAATTATTCAATTTAAGACCACTTTGGTAAAAGATTCATGAAAAATATAAATATAATGAAGTTCTGAGTTCTGACACAGATTTCTCTTAATATAATAGGAAAAGTGGAATAAGTAATACTAACTTTAAAAATAAATCCTATGTTTCCTACGTTAAGTGAAGCATTAACGACGGTTATTAATACTTGTTGACAAGCATGTTACTACGTATAATACGACATATTTATTCCGACAAAACAACAGTGATAAAGCCGTTGATTTAATATACTAAGAAAAATAACATGTGTTAACTGCTCCACCTCATAAATACCGGCTGTAATATTAGCCCTCTCATTTTGTGTTGCTATTAAGTTAATTAACGCGGTTACAAAAATTACAGAGATTTACTCAAGAAATATTTAAATTCCAAGGTTTGTATACTTTTTATTTCATACATTAAGATATATAATACAGACTTGTAAAAGCAGTTTTATAAAAAAAGAATTAACTACTCTGTACGTAGACTTCCCTAATAGCTTCCATGCACGTTTGCCAAAACTGCTACGCTTTCGAGTCGAGTTGGTTGCCAACTATTATTTCTTTATTAAGTTCTTACTAAGAAGATGCTGATGATTTACCTCCTAGATCATGGTTTCATTCTGTTGCTACTTACGACATTAAAAGGATAATTTGGGGTAGTGAGTCGCAGCCATTACACTACCAATTTTAGGTTACACTAGCTGTTCCTCGCAACTTCGCTCGCGTGTTAGGGTTTTTATGTTTTTGCGTGGAAGCCTAATTATTTTTCTAAAATAAAAGTAGCCTAAGTTACTCCTTATGAAATCAGCTATCTGCCAGTGAAAATCTCGTCAAAATCGGTCCAGTCGTTTCGGAGATTAGCCGGAACAAACAGACAGACAGACAGAGAGACAGACAAAAATTTAAAAAATTGTATTTTAGTTATAATTACCGTATTTACTTTCATATGAATTTAGTAAAAAACTGTAATTTTGACATTACAAACAGACACTTAAATTTTATTTATTTGCATAGAAGATTACATTATTTTAATTTTATTTTTTATGCCTTTAGAAGGGTTTTTTGTAACTTCTTATTGAATTTAAAAAATAAATAATGAGACTACACTTCTCCACACTTTTAAGATAGATAAAAAGGCCCGTAAGGGTGTAGGAACATAAATACATAAATAAAAAGACACATTAGAAAAATGTAACATTTCAGGGAAACTCCTTTTAAATTATTATATAAAAATGAATTGTAAAAGTAAAATTTTGTAACAAAAGTTAAGTCATAGTTTACAGAAGAATTGAAGCCTGACTTCAGAAGCTATGATCACCATCATCCCTATTCTTAGTATTACAGCCCATCACAAGTCTATTGATGAACATAGAAATGCCCAATGCGGAATTATTATGTGGAAATTACTCTATTCTTTTTAGTCAATGTTTATCCTTTTGAGTGGACAAAGCAATATCAGGAGTACAAAGCAACAACAAAAATGGCGTCTCAATAGTAACATTTAAAATTTCATCTCCTATTTTTCCACCCTCAGGTGTGGAAGTTTTTGTCTAAATTTATCCACTCCTGCCCGGCTAGCATGGGCGAGGGACCAAAATTTTATCCCCCGATTATATCCACTGACAAGAGATAAAATTATCTTGTTATGTCAAACGGGGAGAAGTATATCCCCGTTTGACATAACGGGTAGACATATATCCCCCGTCCGTAGCATGGAGCCAAACGAAAGATAAAAAATTATTCTTTTTTGACATTTGAAAGGGACAATTTTATCCCAGTTCATTGGACGTGGGTTGAAGTATGAATATATCACACAAAAAAATCTAAATCTATCTCCCAATTTATCTACTGTGGATATTACATCCACCGGTGTGCCCATGCTCTAAGAGTGGATAAAACTAAGCGAGGGGATAAACATTTTCTCCTTTCCTCGGGGATAAAATTGTCCCCAGCCCATGCTAGCCGGGCTGAAGTAGCTTATTAAATTTTAAAAAATCTGTTCACAGTTAACAAAGATATTACATATTAAACATACATACAAAAGACATACGATCGAATTAAATAGTCTAATAAGTTTATTATATTTTATTGTAGATCGAGAGGATGTAATTATTATTCCTTTCAGTCAAATTTTCTATTTGAAAAGTGTACTCTGTAGATATTATCCCAAGCAGCTGTTACGAGTATAAGTTAGAACGTTAAATTATGGTGCCAGTCACAGGTGTAGGCGTGGAATAACGTATCCCTAAAAGGGCTTTATGATATGAATGAATTTTTTATAAAATATGTTGTTACCAAAAGTTTGAAATTTTTTGTGTATACTTAATTATTTAAAAAGTTTGTTATAATTAGTAAGCTAGTAAATGATTTTTATTTAGATATAATTATGGTCAGTCTAATGTTAAGTTTATATATGCTTTTGTATATTTTAATATTTTTATATATAAAAATAATAGAGCAGGCAACTATCTGATAAATAACAATAATTACAAGTTTATTAATTATCAATAACGACATAACATCTTCGATGACTGTTAATAAACTCATGTTATCTTATTACAAATGGTAGTTTGTAATTGGTCTCACGTTAAAACAAGTATCTATTTCAATAAATAAGTATTGAATTTGATACGAAATATCAAATTTCGCTAAGGGACAAGTTTTGAGGACGAGTTTCGTAACAAATACTCTTCCTTAAACTCAATAACTATATCAATTACGTTTTGTAATAAGACCACGTAAGTTAATTTTGAAAACACTAAGCAATATAGAATTTTATTCAATTAAGATTATAAATAATTATTATTGAAAGTAATTTTGAAAGTCGTTGAAAGTTTTTGCATCAAGTCT